CACCCCATACCACTTAAAGCGGTTTAGAACTTAATTATGCAGGTTATGCTGACTCTGATAGGACATTTACAGTAAGTGCCCTCCCTGGTGAGCTGGGTACTCATTTTGCTGATTGCAGATGGATGGAAGGCTAAGTGAACCTTGAGCCAGCTACCTGAGCCCATTGGGACTGAACTCAGATTGTGAGCTGAGTCTTGACTGTAGTACTACTGCGGTTTAACTACTGTGCCATGAGGCTTCTTAAGTGCTAAAGATCAGTAATCAAACTAAGCAAGGTAAAGGTAAAGGTTGCCCTTGACAATTTTTGTCCAGTCGTGTTCGACTCTAGGGGGTGGTGCTCATCCCCGTTTCCAAGCCATAGGGCCAGCGTTTTGTCCGAAGACAATCTTCCGTGGTCACATGGCCAGTGCGACTTAGACACAGAATGCTATTACCTTCCCACCGAGGTGGTCCCTATTTATCTACTTGCATTTGCATGCTTTCGAACCGCTAGGTTGGTGGAAGGTCGGACAAGCGATAGGGGCTCACTCCGTCACGTGGATTTTATCTTACAGCTGCAGATCTATAGACCTTACAGTACAGAGGCTTCTGCGGTTTAGCCCACAGCGCCACCACGTCACTAAGCAAACTAATTTGCAAATTCCAGGTGGCAAAAGAAACTTCTGGTGTGATGTGCACATACAGTCAGCCCTTTCTTCTTCTAATTATGGGTTATTTGTTAAGTCTTTCTGTCCCATTTTAGGCACCATAGTGCCTTGGTCTGACATTGTTTTAAAGGGCTAACATGTTTTGTTTTTGTTTCTGCAATTTCATTATCCACAGACGAAGAAATCCTCCCCAAGAAAGCTGAATTAGTCTCAGTCTAAGAGAAATAATAAATTATTTTGAGTATCTTTTTTCTTTGTCCAGAAGTTTAAATACAATCACTTGTTACATTTGCAACCTAGGAGTTGAATGGGGTATTTTGAAACAGGAGTACATACAGCTGAAATCTCCTCTTTACCACTTAATAATTAAGTACTGTATTTTATATCTTCTCCATTCTGGATTTTTGATAGAAATATGTGGCAGGAAGAATATGTATAATTCAGATGGAGTACAGACGTGTTGCTCTAAACTTTGAAGAGAGCTTTTAAAATGTGCCTCAGAGACTGTGCCCAAAGAAGTGAAAGAAGTATTGATAAACTACAGCTGGGAACAAAACTAAAACATGGCCATTTTGTTTTCAGTACGCAAAGTACACGAAGAACTAATAAGATGAGATGGCAGAAGCAAGTTCATTGAGTTTCATGAAAAGATAAACAGTGATGCTTATGTTATGTGAACAGGACAATAACAAAGGAAAAAATGGAATGCCATTTATTTTGCCGCTTGAGTTGCATTTGCCTAAAATGAAATTAATAAAAAAATAAATGTGGAAGTCTGTATAGAACAATGAGAATAACCATATATTGTACAGAAGGAGCTTTTACAAAATATAGTAAGGGGAGAAAAAAAAAGATGAATGTTATTTTAAGTAGTTTGCTTCTTGATAAACAATAGAAAAGAAAAACAAAAGTTTGCTTTTTCGTAAGTTTCAGCCTCATAACGAATAATTAATAATGCATTGAGTTAATGTGGTAACAATGAGGAGTATGGACTCATAATATACTGTGGTTTTTATGAATGAAATGTTTTAAATGTAAAAGAATGTAGCAATGAATGAGGATGTACTGCCCAAATACAATTTTAAGGAATTACAAGTGGAGGCATTTCTGAAGCTGAGGGCTATTTCGACAGTGAGCTGAGTCAAGACATAGCTGTCTGGACAAGCTGATGTTTCTTACCCAAGGCAACCCTACTCTTTGAAGGTTCATGTTATAATGAGATACCCAGATGATTTTGCAAACAGTTTGTGACTGATTATTTGGTTTTGCTCTGATATTAACTCTTTACTGGGACAATGTCAGCTATGATGAATCATAGAATCTGTTCTCTTTACCTGGGAGGTCTGTAAATCTTATAGCATTACTTGCGGTAGTCCTATAAGATTTAATATTTACTATTTGGGGTAGTAATCCAAATCAGAAGCTGACAATCTGCTAGTCTTTAGTCAGTTAATTCTGTCTTCCTTAATAGTGTTTAATTTATTTTATTTTGCATACTTGTATACTGTAAATGAGTTTTCCCCCACCATGGATTATTTATCTTGTGGTTAATATGATCAATTTAATGTTTCTGGAAACCTTATTTAGCATCTTGTTCACAATTATAAAAATGTTCAAGTGAACTATGCATTAAATGAGTAAATGTGAATGTCATTTAAAAAATGTTCATCTAGCTTTATTTCTGGCTAGAAATGAGGATCTCTTTTGGCTTTCAGTTGAAGAAAATATTCCATTTCCATTTCTGTTTCTAATAATGTTCATATTTCAATAACATATTCCCATGATTAGGAAAGACTGCATTCCAGCAAACATGTTTTTAAGCAACATAGATTCTACCCAGTGGTGTTCCTCCACTTTGGGCTCCAGCAAAGGGACTCATAAATGGAAAGGAGAAATGTAGGGGTTTTGTTTTGTTTTGTTTGCAAGTAATTCATTCCTTGGCAGCCTCCTGCACTCAATCCAAATCTGTTTACATTGATCCAGGTGGTAAGGGAGCTATCTCAGATGGCTACTAAACCTACTCAGGAGTGTTTGTTCAAAGTGTTTGCAGATAACCAGTGGAAAATCCAAATGAAGAATGCCTAGAGTCCTATTGGTGTATATGTAAGATTTGTGGAACTTGCCTCGACCAATTGTGCCTAACTAGTGAGATACTGGAGCATGTCTTAGGTGATGTCTAGTTGCAGTCCTGATTGTACAATTGCAATGTGCCCCAGTTCTTTGTCTGTTAACCACAATTAGTCATGACAGGTTGTGGAATCCAGTAAGATTCCAGCCAGTGTTTTCCTACATTGTTGTAATCATAATATGATTAAATCCTTAGAAGTCATGCAGTTCATTTTGTAGACATTTGTCCTAACATTTATAGATTATTTTTTGTTTTTCAATATTAGACTGGCTACACAGATCACCAACTTTACTGCTTTCACTTCCTGCTGCAGATCCATCTGCTCCACTTGCCCCAAGTAATCTCCGAATTTCCAACTCTACCACAAACAATGATGGAAGTGTAAATGTAAGAATTATTTGGGACCTCCCAGAGGAGCCAGATATCCCAGTCCATCACTACAAAGTCTTCTGGAGCTGGACAGTCAACAGCAAGTCTCTTGTCCCATCAAAAAAGAAAAGAAGGAAGACAACAGATGGGGTAATTTAGTTAAACATTTATAAAAATGTTGTCATGCATTTCTTGTTAGCCACATCCTAAGATGAAGATTCTCAACCCCTTAAAATGATAGAATATGTGATTCAGAAGTCTGCTGTGTGACAAAGGTGAACATATAATGTTTGCTTAAGAAGCCCACTGATAATTGGGACATTAGTTTTATTTAATGGAAAATAAACAGTAGTGCATTATTTAATTTCACAACAGGTGGCAAACAAGTGACTTGCATGTGGCAAGCTCTAATAAATTCCTACGCATTATAGTTATTACAAAGAACAAGATGATATCAATCACCTTCTTGTACAATCCCAATTTATAATACTGTACAGTGGTGCCTCGCATAGCGAGGTTAATCCGTTCCGGATTAACCTTCGCTATGCTGAAGCATCGTTGAAAGTGATTCAGAAGTCTGCTGTGTGACAAAGTGAACATGTAATGTTTGCTTAAGAAGCCCACTGAGAATTGGGACACTGGTTTTATTTAATGGAAAATAAATAGTAGTGCATTATTTAATTTCACAACAGGTGGCAAACAAGTGACTTGCATGTGGCAAGCTCTAATAAATTCCTACGCATTATAGTTATTACAAAGAACAAGATGATATCAATCACCTTCTTGTATAATCCCAATTTATAATACTGTATTGTGGAAGGAGTTTCCACCTTTTCTACTTCATAACAACACTAATGTGCAAAAAACCAATGTGCCCTAAATGTAGAACTGCTTCAAATGAATTGTTAATATGTTAATATGAATATGTCAATGAAGAAATATCAGTAGACTATCACAAGCTAATGTCCAGTCTCATTGTGTAAATCTTTGTCTAGAAAACCCGTTGTGTCTGCAAGGGAAGTATGAATAAAGACGCCAATACTCCATTAGCATTCTAATTACTAGTCCCCTGAATTAACCCACACTTCAATACACAGTTTGTACACAAAAGTTTAAGAACTAATTTTCTAAAATGAGATGAAAAAAGCAAACCATACAAAGGACACAAAACTTGGTGCATCCTGGTCTTTTTTTGGGTACAGAATGATTCAGTGCTCAGCGAGATCACTGTGCCCATAAGATGGACTCCTGTCACAGCGTTCCAAAGACAAAATTGACACCTAAAGAGGTAGAGATTATTTCTGTAGGAACCAGAGGGCCACCATATTACATTAGATCTTGTCTGATTTCAGAAGCTAAGCAGGCTCAGATTCAGTTAGCCTTGTGGTGCAGTGGTTAAACCGCAATACTGCTCTGAAGGCTCTGCTCATAACCTGACTTCGATCCTGGGCACAGGTAGCTGGCTTGAGGTTGACTCAACCTTCTGCGGTTGGTAACTTGAGTAACCAGCTGGCAGGGGATGGGCAATGTGCAGCCTGCATAATTCAGTTGTAAACTGCTCAGAGAGAGTTTTAAGTAGTATGGGGCAGTATATAAGCAGCACACTTTGCTTTTGTATGGACTTACCAAGAAATATCAGGGGCCTTTAGGCAAGGCTAGGATAGAATCCTGCCTGAAACTCTGGAATGCTGCTCTGAGTCAAGAGTTGACGATACTCGCTATATGGACCATTAGTCTGACTTTATATAAGGCAGTTTCTGATATTCCTAAATTATTTCCTCTCTTTATACATTTCTACGATAGCATCACATATACTAAGGTGTTGCATTGTCCCATTCTGATAGCAGAATAATCAAAGAAAAAAAAAGAGATGCTTCTCGTTGCCTTAATAGAATGCTAAAATGTAACTATGCCTCTACTGAAATGTCTGCTTTTTTGAGTCCCAATTCTGGCCAGCCTTTTTATGGACCTGGCAATCTTTAATACAGGACCAGTTTTGTGACTTACACTCACACAAACATACAATGGTGATCCTTGAAATCTCGTTTGCTTTTATCAAAGGTTTATATCCCTATACTTTGTTTTTCATGTAAAAAATGTGGTAGTATTTTTACTGTCTCTCTACTTCACCTCTACTCAGACAGCTGTTAATAACAAGTATACTTTCAGAAAGAAATTCTGAATACAGATACAAAGTGAATAGTAGTAGTAGTTGTTGTTGTTTTGACTTATATACTGCCTCATATTGCCAGAATACTCCCTGGGCAGTTCATAACACAATCATGCAAGCAAGTTTGCCTTCCTCCCAGTGAGCCGGGTATTCATTTTGCCGAACTTGGAAGGATGGAAGGCTGAGTCAACACAGTTCACAACACAATCATGCAATCAACAGTTTGCCTTCTCCCCAGTGAGCTGGGTATTCATTTTGCCGAACTCGGAAGGATGGAAGGCTGAGTCAACCTTGAGCCCGTTACGTGAGTCTATGGGTGTTGAACTCAGGGTGTGAGAAGAGGCTTGACTGCAGTACTGCAATTAAACTACTGCACTATGGGGCAGTGTTGTTTTAACAAATTAAGACTGCTATCCTAAATAGGTTTTTTGTGGAATATGATCCCACACATATTCAGACTTATGGCCCAGTAGGCATGCATTGAATTGAACTCCTTGTCTCATGTAGTAGTTCTCCCTGGAAAATGACATTGCTGAAAATGACATTGCAGCATTTTAGTAAATCCACACAATTGATCTATGAAAATATATTCTTTTTCATTGTAGTCTGAGAATTATGTGGTCCTTGAAGGCCTTCAGCCTAACAGTAACTACATGGTGGAAATTCAGGCAGTTACATACTGGGGTCAGGTACGCCTGAAAAGTCCCAAAGTGTCTCTCTACTTCACCTCTACTCAGACAGCCGTTAATAACAGTAAGTATACTTTCAGAAAGTATTTCTGAAATCTGATGCTGGTCAGTTATTCTGATTTTGGATATAACAACTCTCTTCTGTTGCCTTTCCCTCAAGAACTTTTAGGAGTTTAATAGAGATACACATACACTGAAACATCTGAAACCAAATTGCTTTGTTTTCTAAGGAGAGCTCTTGTTTAAATGTTTGGTAATTAATCAGGCACCATTGGTAGAGTTTCTTTGTATATATGGAATCTCTCAGCCAGTTTCCTATATACATTTGAACTAACAGAGAACAAGATGAGTGGGTAAAAGCTCCCTTTTTGATACTTAGCCATTTCCGTCCCCTGCTGCAGATCATATTCAACTTAGTGTATAAAATCTTTGCCAAGCTAGGTCCATTTACCTAATCTCCTCATGGCACCATCGGTAGAGTTTCTTTGTATATATGAAATCTCTCAGCCAGTTTCCTATATACATTTGAACTAACAGAGAACAAGATGAGTGGGTAAAAGCTCCCTTTTTGATACTTAGCCATTTCCGTCCCCTGCTGCAGATCATATTCAACTTAGTGTATAAAATCTTTGCCAAGCTAGGTCCATTTACCTAATCTCCTCATGTGAATTCTGTGGTTTCATCAGTTTACATTCACTTCAAGGGCACCTTTTTCTTTCCATTACCACTGCTAGCTTTATATTTACTCTTTCAGCCACTTTAGTAGCTGATCTAATTATATATATTTACTCTGTTAGCCTTTTGCCCCCTACTTCTTGGCTTATTTTTCTAGGAAGCTTGTTATCTGTATCATCTTTAATTGCATTTTTCATAGTCAATTTTTGTATTTTGATTGCCACTCGAGAAGCAAAGTCCTAGGAACTTGACCCATCACTGATTATACAATAGCTCACCTTTGACAGCCCTGGCATAAATATGTCAGCTTTTAGATGCTGCTGCCACATGATAATGTCTTGTAAGGTAGCTTCCACCAAGCAGCTATGTGGAATTAATTCCATTTCATTTCAGTGGCTAGTGTGACTCACCATTTCTCAGCTGACTTCCTTCACAGGATTATTCTGAGTGTAAGGTGGGAAGGAAGAGATTCTTGTTGGCCACTTTGACCACACTGGCAGAGGAACAGGATACAAATGCTACAGATAAATGAATGATTAACATTATGATTGTAACTTTAAGATAAAGTTGTTAGTCCAGTTTTTTTTCCGGATATAGCTATAACTTTCTGCTTTTTCTAGTTATTCTCCCTCACTAAATAGTTGAGGGAGAATAAGATGGGGTTGAACTGCTGGCTCATGCTGTGCTCTGTGCTGCTACTTCACACCCTATTGTGGGTGTTGAAGTGATGATGAGATACACAGAAGTGTTTTTTCCCCCTAAAAGGTAGTTATTTAAATTCTTTTGAGAAACGCAAAAAATTGTGTTTTTTAATTGCAAATATAATGGTAACTAATTACTTGGGGATCCTTGGAACTACGGGAGAAATCCAATGTTAGTCCCACCTGGAGTAGACCCATTTAAATGGGAAAAACTTGTTAGTCACGTGTAACAAGTCCTGCTGAATTTAATGGTTTTAAATTAATTGGATGTAATGTTGAATTTACCCTATAGATGTAGCTACTTATTTTCTAAATTTAACTTTCCAAGCTTTGATTATTCTGTGTTTTAACAATTAGCTCATGAGAAACTGATTTCTGAGATTAAATTTCAGCAAGGTTGGACAGGATTTATGACAATATATATTAATTCAAGGTTTGGGCTTTTAAAAACACTGTTGAAGTCTCCTTGCCATTTCCCCTGCACTGTACAGAACAAATAATTCCTTCTTTTCCTATCATTATAGCTAGCTTAAAAAAAAAATCAGGGTCTTAGGACTGTCTAGTTTTTCCTATTTTTCATGAAACAGCAGAGATTGTAGTTATGTGAAGTCTGGTGTTGTTTCATCTTTGATTTCATTTTTCACATTCTCTGCTCCACTATACAGTGGGGTCTTGACTTGAGAACTTAATCCATATTGGAAGGCGGTTCTCAAGTCAAAAAGTTCTCAAATCTGCATTTCCCATAGGAATGCATTGAAAACCATTTGATCCGTACTTAAGTCAAGACCCCACTGTAGTTAATTTGTATTCTGCGGCTGGTTGTTGTAGATAAAACTTATCATTTTACTGACTACTGCTTTGTTTGGCTGTAGTGGCATTGTTGCATATTAGACTAAGCCAACTGTTGTGTTTCTTGGAACACCAAGATACCTTTGAGTTCATGAAGACTTTGGTTCATTTTCCTTCATTGTCTACAGATAGATATCATGATCTTCCATGAGTATTGTTGGCTGGTATGTGTAGACTTAGAAAAAAGAAACGGAACATTTGAATATTTGGGAAGAAATAAATCTGCAACAATTAAAACAGGAAGTCATATTTAACTATTTGGATTTAGTATTTTTTTGTTTAGCCATGTAATGGGAGAAGTCTAGCCTTAAGTGACAGTGTATATCTATAGTGACAGAATACACTATATTCATACACTGTTCCAATCAATATTTATAAAGATCTCTTGATATTGGGAGACACTACTGGTACTCAGAATACTTTAAGCGAAGAGTAGAACAGTCAGTAGGAGTTTTGTAAATGTGTTTAGCTGAATATGCTTATAGAATTAATCAAGATGCAAAATGTTGATAAGGGCCTCTACAGACCTTAATTCCAACCATATGAAAGTCTTTAGAGGTACTGGTCTGCCAGGAATATTGGGGGTAGGTCTTATATTTATGTGCTGACTCCAGCCACTTTCTTGATCCTCAAATATTCCTGCTAAATGCCTGTGCAGAACTACAGCCTTCAACATAGTATTCTACTCTATTATTCATGACTAGACCTGATATGTTCAAATAAATGAAGGCCTTGTTGCCATAGGATCACGGCTGAGAGTTATTTTAAAGTTTCTATCTTGAATAGTCTACTGATGTCTCAATCTCGCGCTGTGTGTTACAGAAAGAGGTTACTTTAATTTTTTTAAAATCTCGTTCCCTATTCTCAGGTCTCTCTGGGAACTATAGTTTAATGGCAGATTGTAGGTTTTTTGTACTTTTCCTAGAGGCCTACACTTGCTGAAATTATTTTGCAATATCAGGTGCATTCTATTTTGTCTTTCAGAGGAACACATATCTACAATTGCAAAAGCAGTGGATGGTTTCCCATCCTTCAAAGGAAGAAGACCTGCTCGTCTCCTTGAAATTGGAGTGCCTTTTTATCAGGATGGTCAGCTTCAAGTGAAAGTTTATTGGAAGAAGACAGATGGTCAGTAGAAAGCTCTTTTTCGCACATGCTAAAAGTCACCTTATTAAGGGCGACTAATCCAACAGGTTCATGGTGGTGCTAAAGATAGAAGTGTTGTTGGACTTAGTGCTAGTTTGATTAGGATTCTAGGTTTGAGGGTGGTTTATTTCAAACTAATTATAGTTAATGCAAGCCATAGTTTGTTGTTCTAGGGAACAGAACAAACTGTGGTTAAGGAAAAGTTTCCAGACTTTTCTTTCTTCTTGAGTGGAAGAAAGCAATGGGGTTGGGGTGTAGAGGAAACAAAAGTTTACTAAAGGTTGTTCAGTCATGTGATCCATAAAGGTGAGTGCTATAACCAATTGCATTATTTTCTGCCCTGAATCATCCCTCCCTCCAGTAATTCAAGTACTAGATCAAAGACAAAGAATTTTTTCCCCTTCCCATCCTGTTCCGTGGAATGGAAGGGACTGTTGTAATGCTTACGAGGTAGAAATAGCAACTGTGAAACCATTTTGAACTGCTGGTGGAACATGTTTTTGTTTTATGTTCTGACTGAAGGATAAAGTTGCTCCCCCCTTCCTCCTTTCCTGCCCTTTTTTTTACATAAGTTCATCTTAGGTTAAAAGAAGAAAAAAGAAAAAGAATTCTCACCCTAGTGGTGGAGTACGGATTAACCGGCTTTGCATTAATTCCTAATGCCTCTACTTGTGAACGGCCCCTCTACATAAGAACCACAAACAGCCAGAACGGATTAAATGATTTTCAGTGCATTCTTATGGGGAATTTTGCTTCAACTTACAAACGTTTCGACGTACTGACACCATTCTAATACGGATTAAGTTCATAAATTGAGGTTCTACTGTACTACAGTGGTACCTCGACGTATGAACTTAATCCATATTGGAATGGTGTTCATGAGCTGAAACATTCATAAATTGAGGCAAACTTTTCCACAGGAATGCATTGAAAACCATTTAATCCGTACGTGCCATTTTTAGTTCTTATGTCGAGGCGCCGTTCTTAAATTGAAGCATTAGTTCCTGTAGGAACTAATGCAAAGCCGGTTAATCTGTGCTCTACACTTAGGGGGAGAATTTTTTATTTTATTTTTCTTCTTTTGACCTAAGGTGAACTTAGGTCAAAAAAAGGGCAGGAAAGTTTTTTTTTCATTCGCAAGTTGAGGCTTTGTTCGTAAGTCAAAGCAACATTTTGCGAATGGAGCCATTCGTAACTCAAAACGTTTGCAAGTGGAGACATTCGTAAGTCAAGGTACCACTGTATAGGATGTGTATCAACATGAATTAGCCCATGGGTCAGGTTATATGAAACAGGAAATATTCCTAATGTTCCTAGGCATAATAGACACTGAGAGGTATGGGTCTTTCATTTTCTCTGAAACAGAGCTGAATTTTTTTAAATGCTGAAGATGCCACAAGAAACCTGATTTTAACTCTTATCAATGAAAAGAAGAATGTGCTCATTACTGGATTTTCCTGGTCATTTTAGCTGTGTGAAAATGGAATTTATGTGCTATTTTTGTAATGCAAGAAAAACATACAAATCGCTTTTTAATTCCTCTTGCTGGGAACTGATAGTTCCAGCAATAAGAATCTGTGGCTGGGAATAGATATGCACACTCCGCTCTCAACCAGAGAAGATATTAACAGTATGTGGCCATTATGCAGCTTTGAATTGGCAAAAGTAAAGATTTGTCACATCACCCTCCCAAAAAGCATTTTAATAATGAAAAAACACATCAGGGTGAGAAGTTTTGATATATTTTTATGTTTTTTTAAATAGCATATTCATGCCCTTAATGTTAAAAGGCTTCCGGCTTGTTTGTTGGTACTGAAGGAAATGTCATCATTTTTGCCATTAAAAAGAGACAAAATAGACTTCTCAACAGGCCTGTATGTCATGGATTGGGTTAAGTAAGTGGAAGTTGTATGAGAAAACTGGTGCATTTATTTAAAAAAAAAAACAGGAGGTGGTGGTCAAAAGAGGTGAGATCTTGTGCTCATTGGGAGACTAATTGTTATACAAATTCCTTTGGAAAATGTTTCTACCAAACACTGTGAAATTTAAGGTATAATGAGCAGAAAAGACATTGCTATACAGGATGTGAAAGTTGTTTGACTTTTTTTAAAATGAGGATTATACTCCAAGGCCTACATGTCATTGATACAGAAATCTAGAATGACCACTGACAATGGGCATAGTTAAATTTTCATTACACTCACCATGAGGAATCCTATCTTTGTATATTGAACTTCATATTAACCTTCCTAATTCTCCATTTGGGTGTTGGTTACTGAGCAACAAGAAAAAACTACAGGCTTGTTCCCCTCTGGTCCAGCAATTATTCCTGGCCTCGTGCCAAGAGCATTCTTTCCTTGAACTTGGTACACTGGAAACCACTCATAGCAGGAGACCTGATATAATCCTTCCTTTGTAGGCAACAATTTCTATTAGAGCAATTGGGTAAAATAAATTATTATACTGTTCTAAAGTTACACTAGCAGCTTCAACTTTGTAAAATTTAAATTTGCAAGAATAATTGGAAGTCTTTGCATTTCAGCTCGCTTATTCTATCTTCAGAAGATTTATTGTGTTGGATTATCCTGATGTCAAGGAAATGGGTGTCTGTCTGTGTCTTAGCATCAAGTTGCCTACTCATTTGCTACTGTTAGAGGACAACTCATTGCAGTTCATTGAAACTTGGCATTAGATTTACTTCTTAGTTTAATATTTGTCTAGCACATAAAGCAAACAATACTTTTATATAAGATAAGTTGAAGGGTTTCAAACTATGTGGAATAAACCAGCTCAGCTGGATTGATTAGTAAAACAAGAAAGAATAAAACAAAGACTATGGGAAAGCAAACAGGCAGGTTGAACTATATTGAAATCCACTCACAGAAAGAAAAGTTGAGATAATGAAACGAAGTTATAGGTTAGTTACAAGCCAACATTAGGATGGTAACCAAGAAAGAGGGCAAGAAGTAAACAAGATACAATAAAAGGAAAGAACGTGGTGATAAAATAAACGAATCAGCTAGCTTTCCTATTTTGTTTTCTTACAGAATTCTCTCAAAACTATGGGCTACAATAGAGTTCGCCACATGTAGTCTGCAGTGTGGATGCTTATTATGGGGATGACAGATCTAAGTAGGAAATAATTTTAAATCTATCCCCTCAATTTTACAGATGTGGCTATTGAAAGACAAGATTAAGACAATTAGAAGTACCGTAGCTGCCTTAATTTCTACTAGCAGATTCTGGTTGAACTCTAGTAGTAAATCACAACTAATGTATGCCCATTGAAACAATGGGGATTTGGTGAATCAACACTTACATATGTTCCTCTGTTACAAAAGGCTTACTTTGGTTGTGCCTTATTATGGGTGTCAACTCTAGTGTTCTTACTTTATGGGTTGATAATCATGCTTGCAAAGTAAACCTGCATTCATTTTAAGATTTTCAGTCACAAAACAGGTTGCTGGAATGCAAGATATGGGACTGAGTGAAGCCATGTGCTAGGCCACATAAATGTTTTCCCACACTTGAGGAAACCCTGCTTCTAACAATATGGTAACTGGGTCATCTAGTTGGACTTCAAAAGAGAATGTTGAGTTCAAGACCTGTTCATCCTAGGAATAATAATCTGGAGGCATTTGCGACATAAATAATATGCAAGATCATATTGTATGCATATTGATATTCAGAGGGGACAAAGAAAAACTTGCAATCACAGTTGGCTGTGCATATGATCATAGCTGCAGGAAAAAGTGCCCTCCCATCTTGAAAATATGTTGCTAGTCAATAATATTTTTATTTGTTTTTGTGTGTAATTATGTATTTGACCAAATGCTAGATGATTTGTTGTTAACAAGCATTGGGCATGATGAACACTTTGGTGATTGCTGTCGTGGTATGAATGCTTTCCACGAACTGATTATCAATCAATTCTAGATTTCTAGATTTCTCATGAAAGAAAAATATCCCACTTGCCACCACTTTTATCACAATTATCACATATTCCTTTTTTGTGGAGAAACATGCTAGTCTTACACTCAAGAATCCAGCTTTGTTTTCAGCAAAAGGAAGCTACTCTGCCTAATCAAGAAGCCACAAGCTTGCAAAAACAGTGCAAACCACTTTTTCTTTTTTTTTTTTTTTGCTGCCATGCATGACTTAAGGGTCACTTTCAATAATGTGACAGATTTCATATCAATGTTCAAAAACAACAACACTTATTCTGCATTTAGAAAAGAACACTTCCTGTGCTGCAACTGTTGCTCTGTAATAATCAGCTATTTTTCATTGTATTTCCGGACAGTAGCTCTTCAAGGTACCCAGGCAGAAACCTTTTCTGGGTCTTCCCTGAACATCTTTGGTTTTAGTTGCCAGGAACCCAACCTGTAAACTTCCACATAGAAGACTTGTGCTGTGCCATTGGAATCAAGAGTGCTTGCCTATCATCATATCATGCCATTTCAAACTTTGGGTTCATAAATTATTTAGAATCTGAAAGTGAAGTGAGGTGCTTGCAAGTTTCCGAGATTGATTTGAAGCCAGTTAAGGAAGTGTAAAATGGGCCTCAAACTGAATTGGGAATCTCTGAAGCACTGGGGAGCTGATTATTGCTTTGATTAAAAATAAAAATAGAGAAAAATTTGGGATGGCAAATCTCATGGAGCCTTGTGGCACAGTCGTTAAACTGCTTATGCTCGCAAAGTAAACCTGCATTCATTTTAAGAATTTCAGTCACAAAACAGGTTGCTGTGGGCCTCAAACTGCTGTACTTCAGGCATAACTGTGCTTACGACCCAGGGTTCAATCCCAGGTAGCCGGCTCAAGGTTGACTCAGTCTTCTGTCCTTCTGAAGTGGGTAAAATGAGTACTTAGCTCTCGGGGGCGAGGCGGGGAATGTGTATGGTGTGGTATATAAGCAGCATGCTTTGCTTTGCTTTTTGCTTTTTGCAAGCCTCACTCTGAAAGTGAAAATAATAAGTTAACAAAACTAGAAAGCCCAAAGCAAATGGATTGACAATTCGAGCACCAAGGAAAAACCAAGCTGTTCTGGAAACCCCAGTCATGGATACCCTGTGTGGGCTCAGATTAACATAATAAATTCCTTTGTCCTGTGATCAGCAGCACTCTTGTGCCTTGACAGCAAGAAAGAAGGGTGTTAATTCGTTAGCAGTTGCAACTTGCATGGCTCTTATTTTCATTATAGTTCAGAAATTATTGGAGGATATTTTTTTTTCTTGGCAGTAGAAATTTTGTATTGCACTTTAAAATCTGTTCAAATGATTCTCTGCGTGAGAGAGAATGTGCCATCAATATCTTGAGTCTCTTGTGTGGAATTTAAATGCTGAATAGCTCCACTGGTTTTAGTATTTGGCTGCGGAGTCAGATATGTAAAATATTACAAAATGATTTCTGTGGTCCTTCATTGTCATTGCCCTTTTCATATGGGAAAAATGGATTTGTAGTAATCTAGAGACCACTCAAATATATTTGTCAATTTGTTGTCTAGTTCATTTAACTTCTTTCAGTTGGGTTGTCTATTTTATCTGTTAATTTTGTTACCCACTAACAAGATCAAAAGGCATATTCTTTTCTTAGGATTTTTTTTTTTACTAAGCAGTTAAAATAGCTGCATTTCTTTAATATCATGCTTATGTACAAACAGCCTTTCACCAAGAGGATGTACAACAAAGAGCTGAAAACTATTCCTTTTTGTTGTCTGTCTGAAAGTGCAGTGATGTCTCTGCACATGTGGAGAACAGACAGCTAGAGATCCATGACTCAGGGTGATTTCAGTTGCCTTGATACCATTTCCTCCTTGCTCATTTTGGTCTGTGATTCACTGAGTTGTTTATTTATTTAGTAAATGAACTCAATTTTATGGCAATAAAATGGGACTAACCGTGTTATTTTAGTCACCACTGCTGCTAGCATTCATTTTTCCTGGAGATATCTGAATCAATCTTTCCAAAGATCTCAAAGAACTGTTCTCTTCTGAAAAGCTTTTTAAAAAATTCATCACCAGTACCATGCAGTTCTAGCCTCTCCTTTCAGAAGCAAATGCCTACTGTGTAGCTCATAGTGTCTGGAATGCGAAAAATTATAAAATTGCTAAACTTAGTCATAGTCCCACTGAAACCAGTGAAGAAGTCATTGTTGGCCATCTACATGTTTTTTTCTGTATAATGGCTATTGTAATATAAAGTCCTAATTCTCTACCACCGCTCAAATAATCTGATATTATTACAGTTAGGGATTCAGCAGGTACATTTAAGAATCATCACACTATATTTTGTGAGCATTATTTGCTTTAAATACAAGATTGTGGTGCATTAGATCTTGTCTGGTTTACTTTACAGGTCAAAAAGAATGTGCTTGCTGCAAATGAAAATGCTATGTTTTGAATGTGTTCCACTGTATTAAGGATTGTACAAATCAGCTTAATGCTGTTGCAGTCGATGTAGGTAGAAGGTCAAATTAGTATGAAAATTGTTTCCGGACATTAGACATCCAGAAAGTTAAAGCAATTTTTGTTAGCTTAAAATTAACCTTGTCAACAACGTTGTCGCTGTTGTTGTTATTTCTGTTCTGCTTCTCATTTGCGCAAATTCCAAAGCAGATTACAGAGATGCTATAAAACAAAATAAAAAATCCAAAATAATAATGCAATCTAATAGAAATTCAAAAATATCATTCACAAGAGAATTCAGAACACCTTATGGTTCAGGGAGAGCCCAGATGAAAAAAATACATTCTCAATAGCATCCTAAAACATTCCATTTTTGAGTCCATAGACAGGATATAATTGCATAGGGATTCAGTTTCGCTATATATTGGCCCTCATCCAACCCACTAGTGTATACAATATCTGGTCTAGGTTACATATATTGCTTCTCTTGATTCTGATGTAATAGAGAGGCTGTGCTGAGCTGAGCTGAGCACTATCAGCATGCTGATGATGGCACGTTGCTCTAGATTTCCTACTGACCAGATCTAGAAAACTTCATATAGATATTAACCAGCATTGGAGATAGGATGTAGCTGGATATGTCTCCCAGCAAGATACTGTTGTCCTGTATTATTTTTGGGAAGCTATCCTGTATAAAGGAGCAGGCCCACTATAAAACAGTGCCCCAAATCCACTGAGGCAGTCCAGGACACCATAGTCTGTGATAAAAAAAACAGAACCCACTAAAATAGCCAAGTATAGCTTGGAAATGACATAAACAATTTTTTCCACATTTGCTTTCTTTTGAAAATGAAAATTTTTATTCACTTTATCAAAATCCAATAAGTAATCAAAGCTAAGAAGGAAATTAAAATAAGACAAGCCGGAGTTGTTTGTAACATTTTAAAGTAAACATGGAACAAATAATGATCTATTTATTTATTTATTTATTTATTTATTTATTTATTTATTTATTTATTTATTTATCCCGCCCTTCTAGACAGGAGTTTACTCAGGGCAGCTCACAATATATTGTGGACAAACAAATAAAAACAGCAATTAAATAACATTTGGTATGTATAAGTGATGAGTGGTGATGGATTAATATAATGTATTAATTCACTTATGTAATTTTTTCTTACAATTTCTTATATAATTAATCTTGCAAGTAAGTATAAAACTAGTATTTCAAGTAAATTGAAATCTGTTCCTTAGCATTAGGTACATATTTGAATACATAAGGCACCATCTCTTACTTCATTCTCCAAATATTTTGCAGCTGAAGACATTCTGACTTCTTTTTGGAAATAACGATTGAAGCATCAATTTTTACTCAGGCTATTCTAATTTGGTTTATCTGGGTTATTTAATTTGGTTGTTCCAATTGTTTGGTACAGTACTTGAGAACGGAATTACTTGGTACACATAACTCTCCCCAATTTCCTCATGTTTTCTGTGTTATGTAACAACATAACAATGCCAATATGTTGATTGTGGGGATTTGTGTTTTTTAAAAGAAATTTAAAAAGACACAGGTGACTTTCCCATTTAACTCGTCTTCATTTGCTCCATTTAGATACCAGCAGCAGGACTAGGTATCATGTCCAGTGGTTTCCAGAATCTTGTGTGCACAATGATACAAAAGTGGCTGAAAAATCCACTAGTACCACATATGTAAGTTGAGCTTTAATGGTCAAGAATTGGAAAAAAGACGTAATTCTTTTAAGATCTGGTTCTGATGTTTGTTCCATTCCCTTCTGTATCTAGCACAAGCTGCTTCTCTTCACTATGAAAGCTTCACACTTTATACCTTCATTCTGTCTTTCAGCCCTTGTTTATCATAATTACCTCATCTTCTCCAAATCTGCTCCTACTCCATCAGACAAAGATCTCTTGTTAACTTAGATGACTTTCTGCTACACTGTGTGGTGTTCTCTCCATGATAATGCATTTGTTTACTTTCTTGGCAGTCTCTTAATGGCAGTCTTTTCCACACAATCCTGGCTCCCATCTATGACAGAACATTTAAAACACACACTTGTGTTATTGTTTTTCAATTAACTGTCTTAAATTGTTAGTTCATTGAGCTGAGAATTTTGCCTATGTAACTGTGGAAGAAACCATAAACAATCAGTACTCTTTTATTTTCATTTCGGTCTGTTTTGCTTGATCATTCATGAAAGATAGTACTGATGGATTATTCTTCAACCCAGTAACCTCTGGCTTATAGTGTGTTAAAGGGGTCCAACATGTCCCCCATTGTTTATAACATGAAATTTCTTTAAGAGGCCACCCAGAGAACTGGTCTAAAATGTCAATACAGTACATGCCCCTTTCTACCTTTTTATTTCTGTCAAAGTAATACAAGCTGAACTCATATTTGTACACAAGTTTGACATAGATGAGGACATAGTAAGCAAGTAAGTTTCAGTTGAGTAGATGTAGAAAGAGTGACATGAATATATAACAAGATAATTAGTTTAGGCTAAAACCTTTACATGGTGATCATGCAAAGTTTTTATAGCTTGCTGTGCTCATTAAAGCGAATTTGCAAGGTGCCAGGGCATTAACTTGATTGTGCAGTTGTGATCTACCACAGCATCTCATCAATTAAGTGCAATTGGGTGTGGCAAGGTAAGAATAGAATTCTAACTTAGAATAACCAATAGAATTCATGGCATAGAATGTCGCTTTGGCATAGGGTTGTTTGAAGTAGAAGGCGGTGTTTAATTAGAAGCCAAAGGTATCATGAAGAAGATAGCAAAAGTTCCATGTGTGCTTTTTCTTTTTGCAGGAGAACTATATAATTCTCCGTGACCTGTCATTCTCATGCAAATACAAAGTTACAGTTCAGCCAGTAAGATCTAAAGACCGGTTGAAGGCTGAGAGTATTTTCTTTACTACGCCACCCTGTTCTGATCTTAAAGGGAAAAAATACAAGGACATTACCTGCCCTGATGAAGAAGGTAAGTATCCATTTTAAAAACATACAAAATAGACAACTACTTCTGGTGGGTTTCCAAAACCATTCTGAAAGATTTAGAGCACTTAAAGGAAAGACTTATAAGAAATTATAAATTAAAAGGTTTATTAGCAATTAATCTTCCTTTGCAGCTAGGCATCCGAACACCAGTGTCTTCATAGAAAACTCTTGTGTTCTCACCTGACAGTTTTCTAAAAGAGACAAATACAAAATTCTCAAATCACCAAAAGTCAAGAATGATCTAGTACACGACACAAGAAATAACTATCCTCGTTCCCCACCCCTTGCAAGAAAGACTGAACATGATGACAGCATCTGTTTCAGAGATGTACCAGATGACTTGCAATGTCAGTAGTTGTATAATTTATTCAGACCATTATTGAAAAGGCATTTTTGTGTCCATTGTATTGCCAAAAAAAAAAAAAAAATCTATTCAATAAGTCACAGCTTATGGTCCATGGGTTAAGGACACCTTCCATTGGTTAGGCAAAATAGAGTGATCTGGTTCCTCATTCTATTTATGCCAGATATCCTGCATATCATTTAGGGTTTCTTCTACCTTATTAGCATTTCCAAGAATGTGGGAGATTCTGAGACACTTAGTGCTGCATGACCTTATGAAACACTATTTAGATGCTGTAATTCTGTCCTATATCAGTCTTTCCTTCCTGTCCTGTTCCTTATCAGCTTGTATCTAATGTATGTTGAAAGAACTGAATATTTAGAAAAATTCACTGTCTAGAAGTTATTTGTAACAAGCACTTGTTGATTTCACTCATTCCATTCAGATGTTTTCTTCTGAGTAGGACAAAGATTTTAAAATGTGATTAAAAACTCAGTAAGTGTAATATAGATAGTACCAAACTATATATTTATTTTCCAAACTATAACCTTGGTCAGTAACTGATACTATAAAAAGAGCAAGGAATCTTGTGGCATCTTAAAGAATTATTAAACTTTGTTTGGCAGAAACATTCATGCACTGCAGCCTATTTCATGAGCTACAATCCAGAAGGTTTATTTGTTCTGAAGAAAACTGGCTAGTCTTTAAGATTCCATAGGTCCTAGGGGAATTTATACATTCAGATCAAAATGAATTTTTACCTAAAAAACAACTAAGACATAACTTGAGAGTTGTAATGTATATCTTGGAGTACTGTGAAACATACCCAGATAAACAGATGACCTTACTATTTCTGGACTCACAGAAGGCTTTTGACAAGGTAAATTGGAAATTTATGCGGAAACAACTAAAAATACAGTGGTGCCTCGCTTAGCGAGTGCTCCGTTTTGTGATGAAATCGCTTTGCGATGCATTTTTTGCGATCGCAAAATGATGTCCCCTATAGGGGAATTTCCCTTTGCGATGATTGGTTCCCTGCTTCAGGAACTGAGCATGGCAAAGTGACGATTTTTATACAGCTGATCGGCAGTTTCAAAATGGCCACCGGGTAAACAAAATGGCCGCCCACTGTTTTCTGGGATGGATTCCTCGCTCTACAGCCACCGAAAATGGCCACGCTATGGAGGATCTTTGCTGAACGATGAGTTTTAAGCCCATAAGAACGCATTAATCAGGCTTTAATGTGTTTTTATGGGCTTTTTTATTTTTCATTGCGACGTTTTCATTCAACAGCGATTTTTTCGGAATGAATTAACGTCGCAATGCGAGGCACCACTCTAATGGACTTTGGTCAATACTTCAAAAATATGATAAATTCAGTTTATGAGCAACAAACAGCAAAGATAATAGTCAATGGAGAATCTATAGGAATAGTTGAGATCCAAAAAGGACCTAGGCAGGGATGTCCCCTATCTCCACTGTTGTTTATTTTGATGTTGGAAATACTGAATAGAGAGATAAGACACGATAAAGAAATAAAAGGGACCCAAGTTAAAAATGAAAAGTACAAATTGCAAACCTTTGCGGATGACCTGGTGTTTATAGTAGAAAACCCATTAGAGTCAACTCCAAAATTAATGGAACAGATTGAAAAATTTTGAGAAATAGCGTGATTGAAGATAGAGGGAAAACTAAACTAATTGTAAAAAACATGAGAAGACCAAGCTTCAAATAGTCAAGAGAGTTAAATACTTGGGAATTTATCTGACAATCAGAAGACCAGCAGTCATAAGATCGAACCCACACAATGGAGTGAGCTCCCGTCGCTTGTCCCAGCTCTTGCTAACCTAGAAACAAAATTGAATATAGAACTCAAACCAGAGTTGTTTTTATTGGGTATTATGCCAGAGAATATTAACAAATAAGATAGCTGTATTATATTACATATATTGACGGCGGCTAGAATAGTATGGGCTCAATATTGGAAAAATGTGAAATCTCCATGAGAAGAAATAATTGTACAAATAAATCTTAGATTGTGCAGAGATGGATAGATTGACAATGACAATTAAAGGGAAAAAGGATTCTGAATATTATCAAAACTGGAATAAAAGAGTGCCTAGAGCAAAGAAATAAGGTATAGACACAAATGAGACACGATATGATATGAACAATTTGATGTATATCCAGTGAACATGACGAATGACAATGGAAATATGTTTTATGTGTTCTAAAAAGTAAATTTTTTTTAAAAAAGAAAGAAAGTAAAAATATTCCATAGGTCTTCCTTTCTTTTTCAGCAACAGAACAGCATCACTACTTTTCATCGCTCTCTGTGGGTGGGTGGGAGATAAGAATGTTAGGTGAAGAAGCAGAAAAAGATCTTCAAAGGTGAAGCTAAGCTGTAGAAGTACATATCTAATAAAAATGTTCTCAAGTGCTTGATAAAAATGCTAATACCTTGCTGCTTCTTTTGGTGTGTTGGTGCATATTTTGCAGCTTCAGCTGTCCCAAAAGTGTTGGCAAAGCCCGAGAATCTCTCTGCCTCCTTTATTGTTCAAGATGTCAACATTACTGGGCATTTCTCTTGGAAAATATCAAAATCAAATCTTCACCAGCCCATGACAGGCTTCCAGGTCACTTGGGCAGAGGTTACAACTGAGAGCAGACAAAACAGCTTACCCAACAGCATTATTTCCCAATCACAAATATTGCCAGTTGTAAGTATCTTGTAGGGTTTTTGTTGTTGTTGTTGTTGTGGGGCAGGATGGAAGAATCAAGGAGATCTTCTTCATGGCCTCTGTGAATCACACCTGTAAGTATCTTGTAGGGTTTTTGTTGTTGTTGTTGTTGTGGGGCAGGATGGAAGAATCAAGGAGATCTTCTTCATGGCCTCTGTGAATCACACCCTGAGTGATCCGTGCTTGTGTGGAGCCTCATCTGAAGATTCTAGAGCTTCTGCAGTAGCAAAAAACACATTAGAGTAAGCCCCTCCCCATATAAGTACCTTAGCAACAAGCCTCTCCTTTCAGTTTCTTTCAACTGCCACGTTGAGAGCCTTATCTTTAGAAAAAAGATCACGTTAAATACTGTTATTAGTTTTTTCTTCTTCTCCACGTTCGGCCTGTCAGCTGCAGCACCCCCATCCCCTGTTTTCTTAATCAGTTTTTCCACATATTCATGGCCCCTTTGGGGCCCATTCAAGCACTGCGTGGTCTGCAATAGTAAAATACCGCTTTCGGATGGCCGCTCCAAGTGCCTCTTTTGCTTGGGAGAAGCACACCAAACTTCCTCCTGCGCCCATTGTAAAAATTTTAAGCACGGAGTCCTCCAATCTGTCTAGGCTGAAACTCCGCCTTTGGGAGCAGTCCCCTCAACCAGCTAAAATGGCCCAGCCTCCATGTAAGGCCACTTCTCAAACCAAAGCGATGGAAAAAGATGTTTCCGAATCATCACAACAAAGTCCATCGGCTACACCATCCCATTCTGACGCTTCATCCACATTGTCAGGACCCTCCAAAATGCAAAATTCGAAACCGTCGATACCAAAGTCCTTGGCATCAAAAGATTCCACTAAATGCCAGATGTCTACTGAAGCCTCTGTGGCTCCGGAGCCTTCTCCACCTAAAAGAAGCAAACACCATAAATCCAAGCATATAGTCATAAAACAACCTCAACAACCGTCTGAGTCAATTTCCGTTGGTTCTCCTTCTGATGATGATGGACTGCCGTCCCATCAGCCTTGTTCTCAGTCTCTGGAAAGAGGTGACAGAGTCGACCGTCTAACGTTCTCTCCCTCCAGTCTGCAACACTCTATTCATTCGAGCAACCTCTCTATTGTTGATTTGCCCAAAGGAGTCCATTCCTAACAACTCGACACTGTTCCCTATCAGGTGCCATCTGATTGGCCACCTATCCCTATGCAGAGACATTGGCAACAACAATATCTCGAGCTGCCTGCTCCATCATGTGTGGCTCACACCCACGT